CTCGGGGAGCGAGGTGAGGCAGGGATGCTGCGCGGCCTCTCGGCCACCGACCCCGCTTCCTTATCGCCACGTCCCTCCCGATACACATCACGAGACGAAATCAATGCAGGGGCAGCCTAATTCCGGGGGGCCCGAGCAAGGGGCTCCGTAGCTATCACAAGTGAAGGAAATGCCCGGGCTCTGGTTTTGTCCTGGTGTTACTCGGGAGTCCAGCTCGGTTTTCTTTAAAAGTAGCTGGTGCCTCTTTCCACGGAGTCGCGAACAAGCTGTCTCAAACGCGTGCAGCGGTGCCGCTGCTCTTAATGGGTTCTCCAGCCTTGTTTTTACTCCCGATTAAAAAAGGAAGGAAAAAATGAAAGGAAACAACCCATGGGGAAGAAAAAGGGGGAGGGGGGAAGTCACATTTTGAAATGACTTCCAGCCAGCCCCTGCTGCAGTTGTATACATACTTCAAGCTCAGATACCACCACTTAAGACGATTTTTTACAAGATTGGATTTCAAGGATAAACCTGAGTCTTTCTACTGCTGTTTAAAAAAGCCTCAGTGGCTTTCCAGCACGTTTGCTGCCATCCACACATGCTGAACACACTAGGAGTAGCCTGAAGTGATGTTATAATTAGGACAGATTTACTCTTGCAAAACTTGTGTTACAATCTGTAGCAAGTGCGTGCACCTGCTGAAGTGCTGCTGTATTGCCAAGTGTAGCAGTAAACACAATTTTTTGCAAACACTTGCTTAAAAAGTGCTAAAATCACGGAAGTGGGGGTGGACTGCGGCCTTTTGGTTAATAACCAAGGCGCGTAAATCGACAGTGCGAGTAGGTGTGCTGGCTTCGGCGGACATCTAACCCCCGATTACCGTTCCCGGAACAAGGCATTTCGCGTAATGGTTAGTCGCGGCTTTATTCGCCGCTCTGCCACGCTTGGGGAGCGGCCCCTCCTCGGTGCCCGCGTTGGTTACCTTGCGGGAGATGCAGCCGCCCGGCGCTGCTCCTGCCGCGCTCAGGTGGAGTCGCGTGAGGGTTTGTGACGCTTTTTGAGTCTCGAGGCTGGCAGGCTGAAATGGAAATGATGAAGCCCGGGCGTGTTGTCCGGCTTGTTCAAAAGAGCTGAAGGGAGGCGCTTTCCCCTCCTCAGTCCTGGGTATATCCTCACGCGTCTCTGACCGAGGCAGAGAAACCGTCTCTTTTTCACCCGGAGCACCGAGCCACCGGGGCCTCCATCCATCAAAGGGCTGCGTTTGCTTCGGCCTCCTTGTTTTCCCCAACCTGCTGTTCGCTGTCGCCGATGCTTTCTGCTCCCACCCGGCCCAGCCTGCCCCGTGCCCCTTTATTTAAGCCCGCTGAGGAGAGCGGCTGCCCGAAATGCAGCTGGGGGTCGCGGGGTCCTGGCCCCGCCGAGGGGCGACGGCC